GAGCCTGATATTCTGGAATTCTGCTTGAAAGACTCCCTCCCTGCTTTCCCACTTAAGCTTTTCTTTTGACAGAGGTACAATGAGTGACAGTGATGTGCAAAAAACATCAGCAATGGCAGCTCTGATCTTTCTGTCAGTGCCAAAGTACAGGCAAAGTGGGAGTTTGGGAAGCTGAGAAAGAAAGAAAGAAAGAAGGGACACTTTTTATGCACTCAAATGCCTATTTCTCTGTCCCAAACATTCACCAACTAGCACTTTCCATCCTGCTGGGAATCTGAAAAAGGTTGAGGGGTGAAATAACTAGGCATAATTGCCAGGCTTGGCAGACAGGCGCTAGGCTCTCACCAAATGTTCAGTATGAGAGCGAGATTATAAATGAAGAATGGGAGGAAGAGGAGGAGGAGTTATGCGGGTGCCAAGATGCCTTTCAGTTGAGAGCATGGCTCATCTGAGAAATGAGGATAAGGAAGCTGAGAAACAGGGAAGCGGACAACTTAAAAGGGAAACAGAAATGAGAGGAGATGGATGGGTGAGATAGACATCAATGGATCAGAGTTAGTGGAGGTGTTTAAAAAATGGACATTAACAGAAGGAAATCCTTCCTCTTTTAAACCTTTTCTCAATATTGCTGTTTTAAATATTGAAATTTGTGGACGATAACTAAATGTGTGAGACCATACGATTGTTTACAATTCACGGTAAGCTCAGATCCAGAGATCAGATTGATCTTTACAAACCACACGGTGCATGTGTATGAAGATCTGAAACCATGAGTGCCGCCTCCATCAGAAGCCCTCAGAGTGTCCTAGTTCAATCATCAAAGTTAATAAGGCTGTAAGATGCAAAAAGGTCTGAAAGCAGGTCAAACAACTGACAGCACTTTTCTGTCGTAACAAAGAGTGGCAGTAATAACACACACAAAAAAGATCTTTAAAGAGAGACCATTAGAGAGGGAAGTGGTTGGCTGCTATAGCAACTAACCTCGGCAAAAATATATACATTTGAAAAAAAGCAGATACTAGGGAAATTGATGGAGAAATAGAAGTTAGAGAAAATATAAATAACACAGATGAATTCACCTGCTCCTATTGCAATTAATACTGCAGTACAGCTAGCTGAGACAGAAAGTCAGAAAAGTTAGTTTGAGACAGATAACCTGTGAAAAATATCAATCTCATCTGCCTCCTTTTATCTATCTATCTATCTATCTATCTATCTATCTATCTATCTATCTATCTATCTATCTATCTATCTACAGTGGACAGCGTCAAGGAGGCTAATGGACCAATGGTTTCTCAAAATGACAATAAATTCAGCATAATAAAATTACCTCCAAAATCTCAATGGAGCATCTATGGGAATTTATATTATTATGCAGCTAAGAAAGCCGAATGGGTTGCTATGGTATGATTTTAGGCAATTCTTCCAAATTAACATCCATTAAAAATTTTTTTGCTTTCATGGGCTCTTGGTATGAACTCAAAGATTTAATGTTGTGCACAGTATTTTTATAGGGTTAAGCTCAAAGGAATGTAGCTTTATTTCTTTAGTAGCTTTATTTTAGTTTGCTGAAACCACTTAAGCCTCTTTGAACGGGTGTTTGAGATCATCAAGTTTCTGAAATATCGACCCTTGTTTCATCATTATCATCATGATCATCCTGATGAAGGGGAAGCAGAAAACCTGCTGTACATAATAATGTTCATATCTTCATATTTTACTGTTGTTTTAAGGTATGGAGTACATGGAGTACCTTTTGATCTCCAAATATAGTGTGTATTATGGCATCCACTATTATTTAATGTTGGCCTGCTTTGATCAGAGTAAACTATCCTATTTTTGTACATAATTTTAATCACACTTCTAATGTGATTTATCAACAGCATTCTTCAGCATTGAAGATTTATGATATGAAACAACTGTCGCTCTTTGAGAATTCTTTTATCACTTCCATCTGAAATCCTTTTGGGAGAATGGAGCAATGGTTGGTTGATGGTTAAATGTCACAGTAACTATCATGGTAATATACTCCAAACAGTGCTAGCTGAAACATTAAGTAAATTAGATATTCTGATGTTACTAATACCAGTTTGTTTGCCAACAACAGAGTTGCAAAGGTCTTGAGAAAGCTCACTGGTTTTGCCCATCATGCAATTTATCATGTGTGACAACTTGGTAATTAGAGTTGGGTTTTTTCCGGCCATCAGTTGTCAGCGATCTAATTGATATTAATTTGCACAAAGTGGCACGATTGCTTTCTAATAACTGATAAATTACATCTGATGTCATAAGTTTCCACCCCTTTTTGCACTTCCCTTCCACTGTGTTTTCAGAACTTTTCACCTGTGCCCTTCCATGTAACTGCACACAGGTTATACATTTTTGAGCAAAAGATTTCGTGCACCCTTTGGAAATATACATGCTCAAATAAATAAAGGAAACATGTAAACAACACAATATAACTTCAATCAAATCAAACTTCTGTGAAATCAAACTGTTTACTTAGGAAGGAAGAACATTTCCTTCCACATGCTGTTGTGCAATTTGAATAAATGACAGGTGGAAATGATTTGCAATTAACAAGACACACGTAATAAAATAGTGGGTCTGCAGGTGGGGGACTACAGACTACTCAGTACCTGTGCTTTCTGGCTAGTTTTGGTCACTTTTGAATGTTTTTCACACTCGTGGTAGCATGAGACAGACTCTGCAACCCACACAAGTAGCTCAGGTAGTGCCACTCATCCAGGATGGAACATCGATGCAAGCCGTGGCAAGAATGTTTGCTTTGTCTGACAGTGTAGTGTCCAAGCCAGACAGGTCAGCACACCAGGAGCCGTGGAGGAGGCAGTAGGAGGGAAAAACCTCAGCAGCAGGTCCACTACCTCTGCCTTTGTGCAAGGAACAGGAGGAGACACAGCCTGAGTCCTCCAAAATGACCCCCGACAGGCCACAAATGTGCATGTGACTTTAATTACAATCTTTTTTATGACTCCATAAGGACTATATGAGGGCCTGACATCCACAGATGGGGGTTGTGCTCACAGCCGAACTCAGTGCAGGACGTATGGCATTTGCCAGAGAACACCAGCAGTGGCAAATTTGCCACTGGCGTCCTTTTCTCTTTACAGATGAAAGCAGGTTTACATTAAGAACACGATAGAGTCTGGAGACACCATGGAAAGCAATCTGCTAATGCAACATCCTTTGGCATGACCGATTTGGCAGTGAGTCAGTAATGGTGTGGGGTAGCATTTCTTTGGAGAGCCGCACAGCATTTCATGTGCTCGCCAGAGGTAGCATGGCCGCCGTTTGGTACTAAGATGAGATCCTCAGACCTCTTGTTAGACATATACTGGTACAGTTGGCCCTGGGTTCCACCTAATGCCAGATCTCTTGTGGCTGAGTGTGCCAGTAGTAGTAGTAGAAGTAGTAGTGTGTTTTTCCTCTTTAATTTTGTGTGCAACTCCAAATCCAGGCCTCCATTGGTTAATAAATTTGATTTCCATTGATGATTTATCTGTGATTTGGTTGTCAAAAAATTCAAAGTACATAATATTAGATAATATTTAATTTATTCAGATGTAAGATGTGTTATTTCAATGTTCCCTTTATTTTTTTCTGAGCAGTGTATTTACCTTAAAACTAGTGCTGTATTCAGTTCTTATTTTACATCCCTGCACTGCAAAAAATATAAATCTCAATAAGTTATTTTTTCTTAAAATAAGTGTGTTTTTCCTTGATTTGAGGAGGTAAGTAAGACACTTTGCCAATGGAACAAGACAATTTCCTTTTAAAATAAGAAAAAACTATTTTATCGTCTTATTTCAAGTAAATATTATCTAACTATCTTATTTTAAGAGTGAAAATACTCATTCCATTGGCAAATCATCTTATTTACCTGCTCAAATTAAGGCTAGATATACTTAATTTAAGCCATTTTTTACTTATTTCTGGATTGTTTTTGCAGTGTGGATGTCTGCCAACTGGTGTAAAGGTTATGCACTGGGATCCTGACAATAAGTGGCAGTTTCTGACCTAATCTACCAGCAGGGCAAAGACGGGGAAAGTATTACTCTAACAGGGGACCAGGGGAGACCGAAAAGAAAGCATGAAACAAAAAAATATGGCCATAGTTCTTCATTTTATATATTTAAGAGAGCTGCAGAACCAAAGAACCACTTGCACCCCTGCAAATATACCAAAAGAAAACAGTGATTCTACCTAAATATAAAAGAACCTCCAAGTGAATCACCTTAATCTTTTGTTGTTGTTAAAAATCACCTGTAAATTTAGAAACTAAAATAGGTTCAAGGAGAAAATCACTGGACACTATACACCATAACAGGGGGCCAGGACCAGTACTACAGGCACACTGACCCCTCTTGGCCACTGCCTAGAACCGCCCATGCTCTGTTGGCATTTAACTATCTACCACTTGTATTTAAAGAGAATTAATGACATGAGAGAATTGGCTACTCAAATCTCTCGAGTCACAGGGCAAGCTGTAACAACAATGGATTTTATACAAGGACATATGGCTGATTACATGTAGGTGTGAGTCTTCCAGCAAGTGTGAAAGATGCAATCAAGTCTTTTGAAGATAGAGAGGGTAAAAAATAACTAAAACAACGCCTGGAAAGAACACTAATTACTTAAGAGATTTAGGGATTAGGGAGAAGAGAGACACAATTAGCCAAATAAGCTTTCTTAATATATCGTGGTTAAATCTCTGCAACGGTGTCTGGGAATGCTTGTCCAGCTAGTTGCAGTTTTTAAGATAATCCTTCAACTTCCTATCTTTCATAACAGTATTCTCTATTCTAAATAAGTTGCAGTCATGCACAATTACTTTGGTATGAAGCCATGTGATAGGCAAGGTTTGCTCACCTTAAGCACAGTGATGTTCCAGGCATAGCTTTCCATGGCCTTCTGAAGTTTACGACCTTTCAGACCCTCCTTTACTCCAATGCGATGCAGATCTTCATGGAAGTCCAGACCTGGAATCGGACAGACTGACATGTTTCACCTAGAAGCTATTTCATTAAAACCCACAAATACCTCTAACGAGGCTATAGTTTGCTCAAGTCAAAATCACTTATTAATTTATTGAACTCTAAATATGGTTTAAAGGACAAAAACATCAGTTTTAGATGAGCCTGTGTTAGACTTTAACAAATAATTCTTAATAAGGGAGAGGTAAGACATGTTATTCAATAAATGAAAAGTAAAGAGGAAACACCAGTACCATTCTGCATACAATTATAACTGATGTAATTGAGCCAATTTGTAAATTCAATTGTAAAGTTGTCATAAAGGGCTTGGATACCTCTGTTAAAGTAGGAGCAATTTGTGAAAAAAAGAAAAAAATCACCACAGTAAACAATCCTCCCATTGCATCCATTCAGGAAAAGGAGGAACATTTGGTGGAGCTTTCTAAGCTGACTGGACAAAGCAATACCCACTGCTTGCCTACTAAAGTTTAATTATGGCTAAGAAAACACACAAAAACTTCATATGCAGCAGGTGCTTAAAGGTATAGTGGAGGATTTTTGTGATTTTTTAAAGATTCCCACCCTCTCCATTTTACAAAAAAAAATGCACATGCACAGCCCTGCTTCCTTGAGAGGAAACTATTTAACGTGTGCTAGAGCATGCACAAGCCCATTTCTTCTTGTGCATGCTGTTTGCATCGTTCATACAAGCTTACTTCCAAAAGAAGATTTGCAACTTTTCCCACTATTTCAGACTCTAACCCTAACCCAACCGCTAAGTAAAAATGCGGTCTGCCTTACGTAAACATATCACCAAAATGTCAATTAGGAGGACCACTTATTTTTGATGATCCACCCAGAACAAGAACATCCTCCACTATACCTTTAACCTGGCAAGATGGATGTGTTGCACTCTTGGTTTAGTATTGCAAATATCATCAAAGTGTCTGCTATCCGTTTTTTAAAGATAGAATTGTGGATTCTGACAAAACGGGTATAATAAATCAAGCTTAGCATGCTTCCTCCTGCTCTGGCTTTCATCACAGCTGTAAGTCTCTCCGTTAACTATAATACTGCAATGTGATTGACAAACTCGTGCTAGGTTGCTTCTTGAATGGTTGAGGCCAGAGGTGGGCAAGATAGACTCTGTTGTGTTTTTGAAGGCACAAATAAATAATAATAAAAAATTCAGTTTGAAGGCAAGATTAGTCTTTCCATGTTATATCAAATTGTTGGTTTTGGTGGACTAAGCTTTAATATGTGAATATTTTTGCACCCTTCTCCTGATAGATACCTTTGCAAACTTTAATCAATGTTATACTACCCTCTCTTGAAGACCATAAGTTTAGCTAAGTATATGAATTTGCAAGAAAAAGTTTAATTACAGACATTAGCTACACATTAATTATGATAAGTGATGCAAGGTATTTACCTAAAAAAGCTGAATTCTGGAATTGAAACAAAGTTCAAGTTTAATGGTGAGCAAATTAATCTGTCTGTTGTACAATTATATATATATATTTTTGCACTTTTAATTTCCATATGTGTTATCTAACCAACATTAAACAAACTAGTTGCATATAATATATGTCATATAAAATGCAAAACAAAACTAACATTTAAAGCTGGGTGGGTACACTTTAGAGAACAACTGTTTTTAAATTAACCAACTTTGATGAGAAAGAAAAACAGGAACAGTGGGGCTGCATCTCCTTATGTAATGTCTGGCCTTGAGAACAGTTGTAAACGCTGTTGTTGCAGGGAGGCCCTGATTTCTAATCGGCACAGAGGGCCTTTGTGTGTTTGGCTGATCTGCTTCCAAATTAATGCTTTTTCTACCACAGTCCAGTTAGGATCAATAAGGCCAGTATAATTTCTTTCTTTTTTTTATTTTTATCATTTGATTCCCTGGACCCATGTGATGGACTGGCATCCTCTGGATGTCCGGTGTTGCTTATAGGGCTAAAACTGAAATGGTACAACGGAGGCTAACCTCTAATTAGGCTTCAGAGTAGGTCAGGCTATGTTGCAGCAAAGGCAAAGCATTCCTAATCCATTAAGGGTTTAGAAGTAAACTCCCTTTAAACCTGTAAGACTCAGCTTGCCTGTAAGACTGTCCCTCAAAGATGACCTTAAGCAACAGAAGCTTTGATTTTCTGCACAAGGACTGAAGAAACAAGACAAGTCGATGAAATAAACTACATCTTGCAATATTTTCTTTCAAAGATGTTGCACCGCTGCTGTTAAAAAGCAAATTATGTCTTTTCTTAGAAAACTGGAGAATACTTAACCCAATAAATCCATCACATGTTTCTAACATAATAACTTAAATTGATCATTCTGAAGAAATCCTTTGAAGGGTAAATTGGCATAAGATTCAAAATGAAGCAACTGTTTCGATTAGCTATTTTTAATGCTCCATTTACAATGTCTGCTACCCTTTCCTAATTGTATAACACAATAGATGTAGTCCTACTAGAGAATAAAAGCCTGAAATTTATATTAAAAGAGATAAAGATTAATCTGATTTTATAATCTGCTACACTTAATGTGCAGCAGCTTCTACAGAACTAAGTAAGGGAGAGTGTGAACAGAGGATGGGACAAAAACAAGTAAGCAGGGAGCTGTAAAAGCCACAAAATTAGCTCCTGGCGCTTTTTACCAATATAGGTTCTTAGCATATTTAATCTGGCAATGATTACGAGTCATCTCTGGGTAACATTAACATGATTCCTGCTCCTTACTGTCACTTTAACTCTAGGAAAATCAGGCTAATAAGCAAAATGTGACCCCATGGCATGCTCTGAATACACACAGACTTTATAGCTTGCTTCACTAATGCTGAGAAAGCGGAGCTCAGAAGGAAGGATAAAGGAGACAACATCTCTTCAGAGTAACCACAGCCCATAGCTTTTAGATCTTATAAACAACACACCTATTTTGCATTGATAACGGAAACTGTACAACATTCACATACAAATCGTACCAGGCATGCAGGCAGATAGACTGCAAGGTTAGGGTTAGTAAATGACAAAATTAAACAGAATTGCTAAAGCCAATTTTGTTTCATTAAAAATAAATGGTACATGTTGAAAGGGATATTTTTATCCCTCAGATCAATGTTTGCTTTATTTATCCCGAATCATCAGACTCCTGAATCCATGATAAGTGCCATCATTGCAAACACAGAAAGGGATGAGCTGGAAAACCGACGTTACAGAGTAAAAGACAACAAAAGGGAATTAGATGTCTTTATCGTGGATATTCACAGCAAGAAAGCTGTCAAAAACACAATGAACAAATCCACAGTTTTTAGACACAGAAAGATGAACACACCAGAGAATTGACAAAACACGGAACACTTGATAACAAGATATTTTCATGGGGCCATAATTATTCAGCTCTATGTATTCTATTGTATTGCTTCATCTCTTCATACTTAGATATACATTTTATTTAGGGATGCACGATATTGGGATTTTGCCCGATATCCGATATGCCGATATTTTAAAACTCATGTAGCCGATAATCGATATCGATACCGATGTTAAAGCTGGACAAAAATAAGTAGTCGTTGAAAATAGCAGTTTTATTATCCATTTCTGACACTTTGAAAAATAATATACTCAAATAAATTTTCATATGCTGATATCAAATTGATTTTTAAAAACGCGGTATCGATTTATTTTACTTTCAAAATCTCATCGTTCTGTTACAAACTCTCGTGATATTTTGCAAATTCTTGTGAGATTTTGTTAGTAAAATAGATCGATGCCGCGTCAATATATCAACATATAAAAATATGGCAAAATTTCATGAATTTTCGGGGGATTTCGTAGCATAACGATGACATATAGCAATATTTCATAAGTAAAAGAGATTGATATGGTGTTTTTAAATGGAAATATATCAACATATGAAGATATTGTGATATTTTAATGCATCAATATTTTTTCCCTCGTCTTTAGAAGTTTTTAAGTCTGTAAAAAAGAAGTTTTTGAGGAAGAAGAAGTAGTTTTTTTTTTTTTTTTAGACTTTAGAAACTCAGAAGCTGATCAAATATCGGGTTAAATATCGGTCTGGTGGCCGATGTCCGATATTCAGTTTTAAGGCCGATACCGATAGGGAGCCGATTATATCATGCATCCCTAATTTTATTGTTTATAAAAATTTCACCTGTTGCATTACTCAAATTAAAGTTCCATTCTAGTTTAAAGGAAGAATACAAGCAAGAAAACAAGCACTACATACTGTATATCGCATAAATAAACCCTAAATAAATCCCTTTTTAGGGACAATATCAATCAGAGAAGAAGGTAAAATACCAAAGATATCAACAGCTCAGGTGTAAGAACCGAAAACAAAAAAACATTTGTTTAGTGCTGAAAAAAAGGTCTTTATGAAAAAGAGAAGAAAAATAATCTACTACTAAAAGAAAAGCCTAAAAGTTTTCAAACTCAAATGTGTGGCAGAAAACTAAAGCTGCACATCATGAAATCAGCACCACATGCAGTGAAATATGATGGAGGCTAAATCATGCTGCGGGCATTCTTTTCTTCTTTTTTTGAGCAGGGATATGGAAAATGGTAAGAGCTGATGGGAATATGAATGAGCTGAAAGTATTTACAGGGCCACCCTGGAGGAAAAGCTGTTAAAGGCTGAAAAAGATTTGGAAGCAAAGGTTTCCCTTCAACAAATTACAAATCTCCTTCTTAGACTTGGACATACAGCCTGAGGTAGAATTTGAATGCTTTCCATCTAAGCATGATTTTAGAAGTTTGATTCCAGACATACATTTCCATGCAACTAAAAAGCTCTTTTCACAGACGATCAATTCAATCTGAATTTAAATTTTGTTTTTTAGTTGTTTTGAAAAAGCTATTTCAGTCTGCATGTATTTCCTTCTGATCTGTCATTGCCCCCAAAAATCTAAAGCCCTCAGTTATTTCTTTTAAGAAATAACTGAGGGCTGATTACATGCAAAGGATTTTTTTTCATTATATTTA